CCAAATTTAATTCTCAAGAATGTCTTAACTATCAGTAGCTATACGCGCCGGTTGGCGCAGGCGCGGATCCAGACCGTGGCAAAAGTGGCTCGAGCCACGGTCAGATTTTTCCCACCCAGGATTTTCCGGGGTTCACCTTTGTTGGATACTACATTAGACTGCATTACGCATTTTTAAGAAGTATATATTAGTTATATGAAATACAGCAAAATTGAGCAAATATAGGTCTATAGCAAACAATTTGAATAATATCTTTTGTAATTGTTCTCATATTACAGTAATATGTGCTAAAAGCAGGAAAAACTTCCGAAATATATTCCTTGTTCAATAGTATAATTATCCAGTTAAACACTGAACTATAAAAACCGCCGAAAGCGTGCCGAATTGTGCCGAATATGTTCGGAAAACAGTCGTAAATTCGAAGCTGCGATCACAGCCACAAAATGCCACGGTCAGCGTGCAAAAAATTGCGCAATTGTTACTAAATATAGTAACTTTCTGCCACAGTGCAGCGTTGCAAACCAATCACAGGGCAAGTTGTGGTCATGTGCGCCACGGTCTGCCACGGTGGCTCTATTTTGATTGCGCAATACAAATGATCAACAATAAAGTTCGATACTTGTCGACTTGACGGGATAAAGAATAATATATTCATCACAAGCTACATGGATGCTATCAGGATGGAAGCTTTTAAAAAAAGTCGATGTTCTTAGCAAGCTCGTCGAAATCTTTCAACAAGCAAACCCAGGGACCGCGGAGTCATTTTATGATTGGGGGAACGCCAAAGGCGTGGAGTCAGGGGTCCGGGGGCATGCTCCCCCTGGGAAATTTTGAAATCTGAGACCTCTCAGAGCCCCAGAAATGCAATAAAACCTGCTAGTTTCTCTTAAAAAGTTTCTTGAACGACTCTTAAGCAAGGCATTATATAAGAGCAAAATTTATTCGCTTAGTACATTTTCCTTGAATAGATTTTTTCATCGAAATTTAATGCCTTATTTAAGCGTAATTTAAATTGCATTTTCCATACTTATCGTCCTTACTTTTCTCAGAAATGTTTTTCTGGAAAGTGCGAGCCTACTAATACATAAGAAGAAAATAATAAATGGAAACAAACAAGGAATAACGAAACGTTTTTAAAAAGTCTATGATAGTCCAAAGGAAATATAGTCCAAAAGTCTGACTAATTCTACTGGATTTCTTTAATTAAAGATTATTGTTGAGATTGTAACAGAGATCCTGCTCCGTAAATGAACCAAAGTTACGTTTTCTGTTGTCATTCTTGGACACGAATACATTGGCTACGTCCAATAACCGTATATTGTCACTTCGTATTTTGTGGGTATTTAATATCGCCAGATGACTGAATCTCCTCTGTGACATATTTGCTCTAAGCCATGTTTTTATTCGTCGTGCGGTTGAAAATATATGATCTTTCACCAGTTGCGCTGGTTGCCGGATTAACCAATAGGAGTTTACATATGGTGAGTACTTCACTGATCATTTGCTGGGTATTGTGATCCAAATTTTTCACAGCGTCTAAGACCTCAGCAAAATATTCTAGTTTTTTCTCCTTCATTAATACTTTGAAAATTTCCAGTTGTGGGATAAGAAACTCTACTTTTATATCCTGATGGTAAACCTCCTTTACAAAAGCCATTTCATAAGAAATGTCTTCTGATTTCAAAGATTTTAGAAGAAGTGCTTCTAATTTTGCATAAGCTTTAAAACTGGGCTGGTCAAAACATTCATTGATGGCCGATACAATCAGATCAAGAGCTTCATAGTAGATTTTTCTGTACAAATCTTCCGACGTTTCAGGGTACCAAGGTTCTCCTTCTCCCACTTCATATCTTGCAGGTGCCTTTCTCTTTCTTGGTACTCTGGGTTCCGAAATATCTTTCAAGGCCTCTTTCTTTTTCAAAATGGTTTGGAAGAAAGACTTGAAACATTCTTCATTTCGTATTCCCTTCAATACCTCGGTTGTCAGCTTGGTATTATGTTGGCCGGAAATCGATGACATATTTGCCTTTTGTAAAGTTGCTGACAAATTGTCCGTGTGCCTAAAAATCGTCACGCCAAGATGTAATCCAAAATAGAAGTCAAAAGACTCCATTTGGGTGCTACATCCTATAATTCGTCCACGAATATCTGGTGGAAGTTTTGTCTTGAGGCACTCGTCCCACAGCTTTAAAATAACGTTATAATTATCAATTACTCTCTCAAAACAGATTGCTCGAACCGTCCACCTAGTTGCACTGAATTTTGTAAGTCCAGCAGCCGCCGCGTCTTCTTCCTCCTCGTCCTCGTATTGAAGGTTTTCCTTCAGCTCTCCAAGTAAATTTTCTCGTTTGGGAGAATACTTTACGAGTTTAACAATCTCATTCGTATTATTCATGGTGTTAGATAAGATCTGGCAATTATTTGTTGCATCCTTTACACCTAAGCTCAGGGAGTGACCGTGACAATGTGTGGGAAGGGCCTTTGCTTCACACTCCTGAATTTGTTTTGCCACACCAGATTTTTTACCAAGCATGTTGCTGGCACCATCGTAGCACTGCCCCCTGCACTGGGACAAAGACAACTGCAGTCGAATGAGGCTATCTTTGATTGCCTGGACAATGGTTTCAGATGCGATGTTTGGTATATTGTAAAATCCGAGAAAGTCTTCATGGCCATCAAGTTGTTCGTCAACCCACCGAAAACATAAAGTCAGTTGCTCCTTATTACCAATATCCGTGTATTCGTCAGCTATTATGGAAAAGAATCCTGTTCCAATATCCTTTATGAGGTCCCGTTGAACCTTGTGTGCCATAATTTCAATAATTTCATTTTGTATATCATGGCTCGTATATTTATCACCGCCTCGTTTCTTAAGCAGCTCGAGTAACGCAGGATCGTTGCGTCCCCGAAGTTTCATTAATTGGTAAAAGTTTGACTCAGTATCAGTGTCTCCTTGTATAACTTGTCCTTGCCGGCATAAAGACTGCACGTTTTCAATTATTTTCAATAAGCAGCGGCGATTGGTCTGTCTTAGTTTCTTGCTCTGCTCATTTGGCATATCGATAACATTGCCACAGTTCTTTGGGAAATTAACTGCATAATCAATCGCCATCTTGTGACATTCTGAAGATTCGTGTTGCTTGAATTTATCTAGGGACTTTTTCCAGTTACAAAACCCATCCGAGATAAACTTTTGATCTTTTTTACTAGCGAGCGTAATAAAAACAAAGGACCGAGTCAAGCTGTTCATCATAGTGCAGCCAAGAAAATATATCAAACCATACCGCCTGAAAAGACCGATTCTGTCCAGAAAATTTTCTTTTAGGAAACTCAAAGTTTTTTGGTTGGTGAGGGTTCATATAGGATGATATATTTGTTTTCTTGCAAGGGTCGACGTGTATTACTGCTTGTGGCTCATGTACTTTGGACAAAGTTGAGCTCACAACTGTTGGCACTCGATGGCATTCTGGAGAAACCTGTGGACTGGACGCGGCTTGGTAGACATCACTTGTACGAGTTGGAGTTCTAGTTATTTGTGCGACAGACTGGGAGACACAGGCCTGTGCAGGATCGTAGTAAATCGTTCTTTCATTTCCTGAAATGTTAGGATTTGTCACGTTTTTACAAATGATGTTGACACTAACATGCTGGAAGCAAGGTGTCGATAAAGCCGGTTTATGAAACCGCAACGCATGCATACAGTCATGAATACGCATTGCGTATACTTGACTGTATGCCATGGTAATATATATGTTTGGGTACCACTTAATACAAGCAGTTTTTAGTCAAAATAAGATGTATACATACCACCTGGCGCAGCTGAAAAATAATCTGAAATGGTTTTAGCCTTCTTCTTCGCTGTCGTTCGCCTCTCCTTTGGCTCTTTTGAGCTTCCAGTTCCTTCCATATTTCCATAGATCATATGCGAGAAGGGTCAATCTAGCGGTTATAGCTCAAACTCAAAAATGGACTTTTTCCTAAGTTTTTTTCCGAGTTTTTTTCTGAGACTTTTTTTCCTACGTTTTTTCCAAAGTCTTCCAGATTTGTTCTCCCCAATTCCACCGAGTTTTTCCCCAAGTTTTTTCCAAGTCTTTTCAAAGTCTCGAAAAGAATTTTTTTCCAAGTCTGGAAAAAAAGTTTTTTTCGAAGAAATTTTTTTAAAAATTTTTTTTTCACGAAAGTGATTTTTTAAAAAGAACTATATGTATAGTAAATAAAGAAAGAGTATGAGTTTGAAAAAAGAAAGTTTCGGTTCGGAAATCAAAAGACTTGCGTCAGAACAAAAGAGACGGAGGGAATTAAGATGTTTTGGAATGAATGAGATAGATGATGAAAGAAGACAGTATTACATAAAATGGAAGGAAAGACGTGTGAGGAAATTAGCCTTTAAAAAAAATACAAGAGGTTGGAAGAGAAATACAAAAGATCGAAAGAAGAACTTCATTGGTTTGAATATCAGGTTGGTTGGCATCATCGCATCATTGAAATCATGGATAAATTCATATCCGAGGAAAACAAGAAAAAGATATGTCGTAAGGTGGAAATGGAAAAGAAGGGTTTTGAATTTAGGCTGGATTTAGAAAATGACGAAAGGGAAAATACGAGAGCCTTACGAAGCATACTCGGTTTCGATCGTTATCTGGAAGATGGCGGTTACGATGAGATTGAAAGATTTGTCTGTCCCAGTACAGATGAAAATACGGAAGAGGAAATGGAAAATTATATTAATTACGGAACATTAGTATAAAAACCTGTAACACCTTATATGAATAAAAAATATACAATAAAGGAAAATGTCTATCACCAAAGTCTCGGACTTCACCAAAGATTCGTTCTGTTTCGAGGATGCCGTTGAAAACAGTTACGGATCCAAAACCATAAAACTAACGGCATGCGATCAAGGACCTCTTTTATTAAAGGTTACAGATTGTAGATCTTACGGAGTGAGTAAGAGCAAATTCGACAAGGAAAAATATTCCATCTCCTTATCTCTTTTTGAAAAATCTGAGTTTATCTCCGTTTTGGAATTAATAGAAAAAGAATGTGCGAAACATGTCGGTAGGCCCGACGAAAAGATAATGAAATGTCTTTCTCGAAAAGGTAACACTCCTACCTTGTATCCTAGTATCGACGATGAAATGGAAATGTACGAACTGAAAGGAAACGATCCCGTCGATCACAAGAAATATCAGGATAAAAGATTTCATGTTGATGTGATCGTTAGAATCAAGGGAATCTATGTATCCGGGAAAACAACTACTATCCAGGTAAAATTATACGAAGCAAGTATATTGGAAGAAAAACCAAAGGTACCAAGAAAAAGACTTTTACGAGATTAAGACTAAAATTAATTTTAATGTGAAAACATTAAAATTTAAAAAATTTTTTCATTAAATAAAAGAATGAATCCAGCAACAACAGTTATTTATTCGGCGATGAAATTAATAGGTAGTAACGAAACGGAAATCCCAAATGTGAGATTAACGGATAGGGAAGCCGATATTTTATATGCAACGTGTGCCATCTGTGCATCGTCCGGATTTTCCATTTTAGTACTTGTGGTCTCAAAGTTAGTAAAAATGTATCGCGAGAAAGAAAAGAAAAAAGATGAATTACCGGTTTATACACCATCTGCGTAAGAATTTTAATTTTTATAAAAATTAAAATTTATTCAGGATGATTAGAATCAGTAAGAGTTCGAACGTGATCGGAATCAGAAGACAACTGATTAGACTCGTCCACAGCAATATTCTCCATGGGAATAGTTTCATTTATTCCATCGTAATTCTTAACGGTTGTACTGACGTAACCGATCTGTGTATGAATACTTGTCGATGCATCCCCACGATCGAATCCAAATCCTAAACTGAACATTTTACGTCTCTTATGATTCTTATTATGTTTAACAATACTTTTAGATTTTGAAGAAAAACATCCCATCCTTTAATTAAATGAAACCATTCAATATGATTATTGTGGGAATGACAGCATGTGGAAAAACCCATTACCTGATCGAAGAATTAAAGACGGTGTATTTCCATGAATTTTCTCAAATCTTTTTAATCTGTCCGACATATCACTGGAATATGACATACAAGCAAGATTTTATTTACAACGATCCAAATTTTTTCATCGTTCCATGCCGTCACGATGATGTGGAAGATATGTTGAAATTTGTCGTGGATTATGCGTCAGAAAAAGATGCGTTGATTATTTTAGATGATTGTGCAAGTACGAAATCTGTAAAAAACCGTACGAGTGAATTGGTGAAATTAGGATTCGGTGGTCGTCATCGTCAGATTTCAATGATCGTGATTACACAGCAGTTGACATCGATCGCCAAACCATATCGTGAGAATATTCAGAAACTGGTAACATTTTACAATCCAAACAGGCAGGATATGAAAATTATTCTGGACAAATATTTGGGGGATGAAGATCCACAGAAATTAAAATATATCCGTGAGATATTAAAGAACAATAGGTATTCATACTTGGAAATAAGTTTAATTCATCCATATCAGTATGAAATAAAATACAAGTAATGGAAGGAGAAGAGAATACAACACATGAAAGAACAGAACAGGAAATCCTTGAAGATACACACGCAGAACTAATCCGGTTATCGAATGCGGGTGAAATTAAACAGACCGAAACTTATTTGAAAAAGGCAACGCCCAAAGTTATTTTTAAAATCAAACGGGAATACATCTTCGATCAACGTGAAAAAGCCAATAATCTTCTCACAGAAACATTGATCGATAAATTTTCGGGATTGTTGGAAAATCTTCGCATGATTGATAGCGGTGATGAATTAAAAGGAGAATTGGTCCAGGATAAACTATTTAAAAGTGATGTGAAAAGTATTGTTGAAAAAATATCACCATACATTCCATATTTAGGAATTTTAAGTGGTAGCGTAACAACGGTGAAACATATGTATGGAAGGAAAGGAACGGAAGAGGAAGAAGATACAAAAATGGAATAGAGACTATTGTTCAGGACAAGTCTGATATTTTTCATATTTTCAGAAGAATATGAAAATATAGTGGTTTACACCATATTTTTTAATATCGCACGCCACTCAATTGTCCGTTGACCATTTTAATCACACCGTCCGAAAGAACGAACGTGTAACAGAGAACGTTTGGCAGTCGTTGCTTTTTTCGTGATTTCGATGAGAATTCCGGATTGTGTATTTTGAATTTTCACACCGTTTCCATACGTTTTGTCATCGTTTGCCGTACGTAAGTCGATGACCAATGCAAGCTTTTTATCCTTGTAAAATTTAATCAGGGATTGTTGTCCGTTGACATCGGTTCCAAAAAGACGTTTGGCTTCTTCGTACATTCGCGTCTTCGTCATCCCCTGACTGTACACGACGTTCGGAACACCTTCGATCGTAACTTTCACCTTGTCGATATTTGGAAAGATATATTCTTCGCTATCGGTCGGTGTTTTTTCCGTGAATAACATGACGATGGCTTTCATACTTCGCCGCGGAAGATTGACAGTTTCGTTAACGATCGTCAGACTTTTATCCCATTCGGTCTTTTTCATCAACGTCACGTGTTCGAAAGATAATTCACGTTCGGCTCCGTATAGATTTTCTGATTTTCGTGCGAGATTGACGTTTTCGATAGATTCGTATTCCAATTCTAAATTTTCCAAGGAATATCCATCAACGGTTTCACCACTTTGTGCATTCATGATTTCGGAAGCTTGTGGTAACGTGATCACGTATTGAAGATCGTTGGCCGAATGATACGGTGCATACAATCCGTGATCACCTAAAATCTTCGTAATTTTTAATCGTTGTTTCGTCCCGAAAATTCCAAAGAGTGCAGTAGCATCGGCGTCGGCATTCGCCTCGTCATCTTTGGAGATTTTCTTACGGACGGCTTCGGTCGTAATTCCGTCCTGGATCATATCCGCGCGTTGTTTTTCATCCATCCACAAGTCTTTGTAAATTTCCAGTAGACTTTTACCGCTGTTATCGTAGACTTTTTCACCGGCAAGACGAATTTCTAATCTTTTTTGTAATAATTTTCCCAAGTTATTCCGGAACCATGATTTTTCGTTGGCATTTTTAAAGTCGAAGATTAATGCCATGCTATCCGGAACCAGAACAGAATCCGGTTTGAGTTTAGGAATATTCACATAGATTTCTTCCCCGGGTTTCGCCGAATTTGGATTGAACGTGATCAAATGTCTCGTTCGATTTCCCGTCAGTTCCGTCCTTGATCGACGACTTAAACTAGGATTAAGTTCTTGGGTACGCGTTTCCATTCTTTTATTTCATGGGAATGAAATAAAAAAAAATTATTTTTTTCTGAAATAATTGTACAAGTATCCCGCAATCAGAATAGCAAGAATCCATAGATTTTTCGCAAGAAATTCTATTCCTTTTGCACCCCATTTTAGAATGGTAGCTAGCATATTCAGAATGGGAACGATCAGGGGAAGTGCGGCTTTTGCAATTTTACCCAACGCTCTTCCAACTTCACCCACTCCTTTCGCAGCACCGACCAACATCTTTTTTCCGGCGGCGACGACGGTTGTGATAATTCCAGCGATAGAAATAGCGAAGGCAGATAAAACTCCTAAATTTTCCCTGACCCAAATTTAAAATTTTTCAAATCTTGTCCGTACATCCTCACAAACTTTTTCCCGAACACGATGCACACCTTCTTCGGATTCGGGATGTTTCCGCATTTCCAGTCTCGCATCGTCGATATTTTGATCGATAATTTCTAACGCTTCGCGAAAAATATCTTGTCGTTCATCATCGGATTCGGTATCAAAATCTGTTTTCAGTTTTTGACGTTCAACCTTTAAATACTTAATTCGTTCATCAGGCTGTCCTTTGGGAACGGTAATTCCAACCAGTTCCCTTGCTTCCTGTTCGGTGAATTTTCCATCGCGATGAAACTGTATGACACGATCGTTAAATTCAAGATTATCATCGATATTTTCACGGTGAATTTCATCACGCACGTCGTCGGAAATGTCATCGTGGATCGATGGATTTCCATCCGGAATTTCTTCTTCCACGATACTGACAAATTTATTTTTATGTTCTTCCGTTGCTTTTTCGAAGGCAGTTCTAAAATTTTTTTGACTTTGTTTAACAGTTACATTTTGACTTGTGGATAGTTTGTATTCCCCATTTTTTTCGATGAAGGCAACATCAATATTATCAAATGACAGCCAGTATCCGCAGGTGATATTTAATCTGGAAAACAAATCTTTTGAATTTGGTCCATCATTCGGATTTAATTTATAGTCGTTCTCAAAAAGTTTTTTCATATATTCAGATTTCAGACCGACAGAAGATCCAGTCGTGTCATATGTTGCCCAAAATAAGCGGACGTTTTTTGACAAACACGCAAAGCACGCGTTCTATCGTTCTATAATCTATATCAATCACTAAATATGCGATTGTCTTTCACGCGTTCTATATAAATCACTAAATATGTCATTGTCTTTCACGCGTTCTATCGTTCTATATCAATAACTAAGTATGCGATTGTCTTTCACGTTACCTCAGTTATTTGTGTAGCCTACTTTTATCTTCCATCGAGGAGTTTTACAGTTGCGTCATGTATTTGTTTCAGAAATGTGTCTAGTTTTTAGCATCAAATCAATGTTATAGACATGAATATAGACGCTTGGGAATAGTGTCATCGCTGTCTAAGATTTCATTCGTCGCAAGATTATAGCGTTTCAGAAATGTGTCTAGTTTTTAGCATGAAATCAATATTATAGGCCTTATAGACATGACTATAGACGCTTGGGAATAGTGACTTAAAAATATAATTTGACACCGGAAATGAATTACAGATTATGAACTGTGATCGCAGTTAAATGAGCCTGCTCTGATTGAAACGCATTGATTTATTTGGTTCTCACCACTGATCTGTTCTCACATACTCTGCCTGTTAAATTTACTCTGCCATCGATTCCTCTGCCTGTTAAATTTACTCTGCCATCGATTCCTGTGGCTGTGCTGTATTTCAAAATGTCAAATAGCAGAAAAAGAAAATCTTGTACGAGCTTCGACTTTGATACGGTTCGTGCTGGCCTTATTGCCAAAGTTAGTCGCACGCGCAAAGTTCAGGAATATATCAATGAATTGCGTGGCATTGAAATGAAGGCCATACTGGAGAAAGACTACGACCTTTGCGAAAATGAGATTTTAAATATAATAGCTGTTAAGCTCACAGTTCAAGGTCTCAATAACATGCGAAAGTCTCTGCAACATGTTCCCGCGAACATCACTCGTATTGTGGATGGAACATCGATGCGTCACGAACTGGTATTGGGTATTTTTAAAAGTATATCTGGCGAACCAAACAACGCAATTTCAATGGATGATTTGATGTTGTTTGCCAACGTGTACTCGAGAAGAATTGCCCTATATTCATGAGCCAGAAAGGCGATTTTCCGTCAAACGAGTTAAAAAAGTATTTATCTCCCGTTTCGACGTGTATTAATTGTGACAAAAAGTTATCAATGCGCAATAACCCATCGTCTGCGATTCTTTTCACTTTAAACGGTCCTGTTTGTTGTCGGAAAGTGTCTTTAGAATGCAGAGATTGCTCGATCAAGTATGGAGTGTGCAAGTACTCCGATGAACATGGTGCTCGATACTACCAGAGTCATTTGACGCTTGATATCATTGAAGTAAGCAACGTGGCATACATCCACAAGGACTTATACAAATGGATGCCATCTTTAAGGTATCATTTTTTCTCGTATGCTTCTTAACAGTTTTACAAACCATTATATTTAACCGATACAATTAAATATTTCCAATATAAATGGATTCATGCATAACGAACAATTCGTGATTAATTTACAATTAGGATACATGTGCATGTATTGTTACAATATGACCTAGCTCATAGATTGGATTTAATTATATTATAAATTATGCACTTAAAGTAACAACACTGGACTAGTCAAAACTACGCGCGTATAGCGGTGCAGAAATTTGGTAAAATTGGTGTCGAAAATCTTAGAAGCCTTTTAATAAACGTCCTATATTTAGTTTCAGATACAGGTGATATTTGGTAAAAGTAAGACATTGAAATTTCACAAAATTGTGTGGCTACCAGGAGCTAATCTGTAATGCCCTATAGCCAAAAAATCTTGGCTTAGGTTATACCCTAACATGCCAAGTTGTGTGCTTGTATCATCAAATGCACAATTTTGCCACCAACTGCTACACTATTAGCCTGCCCCGAAACAGGTAGGGTGCATAGGCTAGGCACATTGGGGATCATTGCCAGGTAATGGATTTAAAATATGATGCAGGGCATAATATCAGCCTTCAATTCTGATGTGTTTTTGTGATTTATTTTACAGCAATCATTGTTGGGTATCATTCAGTGGCTTTGCTGAGGCCTACAATGAAATTTACCAGGAAGAAATAAAGTTGTATTCCTCACTTGTAGATGGTTAGTGTTCACTTACAACTTAGTAGATTTATTGGCTAATTTTTTTATTAATTTTGTTTAATTTCAAGTACGAGTATGCAGCCTTTGTTCCTTCTAAAATTTACTGCACTCAAATTTATCTATACACTCAACTGCTAGTACCATTATGAAACCAGTTCTAATACAACTGGTTTGGCATCAATAGAGGTACCTAGTGGGAGTGAAAATGAAGTACAGTAATCAGAATTATAAGAAACACATAAAACTAAGACACTGACTCAAACAAA